CCTTAGGTGATCTCAGTGAATCAACCTTCGATCTCTACTAACACGACCTGCAAACTGAACTTTGGGTGAAACTCACTCGTGGTTCCTTTTCTTCTTTTCATTTTACTTCCTTTTTATTCATCATACAAAGATATAATTTTCAGGAAGAGGAAGCGGCCAATCAAAGGCTGCCATTCAACACACAATGGAAAAAGTTAGGCGGTGGTGGTGGGATTCGAACACACATCCCCGAGGTCATAATTTGGTGACGTAACCCCCGGGCCACTGTAGAGTGCTTGCACGCAAGTTATTCACTTTCTGTGTGTGTTGATTTTGGGCGTTCCGATTTCGGGGCCGTAAACTTTTTGCTTCGTAACGTCTAAACATGTTCCCAAAGAAAGCATAAAGCAAATCGTGATATGCTAAATTCCTAGGACTTGGAATCCAATCGTGGTGGAGTTTGCAATCGTGAAATTAGGTGAAATAAGGTCTAGCTGAGCACTATGACGCGACCACAATTAAAGTAACGTGGATATACCATTCATGGTGTGAGGTACTTCACTATGAAGATCGTCCTTATTTCTTCCTCAAAACGTCACTCTCTTCGTCGTTGTCGTCGTCGTTGTAGTGTTGGTGGTGGTGTTGATGATGGTGGTAGCAGTAGTAATAGTTGTATTAGCGCTAATATTTATAGTTCATCTAGAGTTGTTCATACGGTCGGTCGGTCTGTCAGGAGTTTGATAATCTGACGCTTCAGATTTGCTTTTATTTGTTCGCAAAACATACCCTATCCCACCACTCACTTTCCTTTTACCAAGCCCCAGCTCCTCCTCATGGTAGTGTTATCAGTCGCGGGAGATCGCCAAACTGTCAACATTGAAATTGCTTTATGTCACCTCCCGAACAGAATCTAACTGAAACGGTCTCTACATTCACCGTTAAGGAGTGCTGTATGTGTGCTGGTGTTTTTTCATTCCCTACGTACGTGCACGTGTGCATACTGTAGGGCTCACAACCGGATTGTCAAAATTGTCCGACTAACAATTTCAACTCACCTCTCATCCCTTGTCTGTTGTTCACCAACTCGACTGCTCGCTTGCCACTATACATCCAGATTGTGTTTCCATATGGAGGACAGATTTTGAACGTCCATAGGTGAATAGAACAAAGTCTAAAATTGTGGATAGTTGTCGACAAACAATACACACTACTTCACATCAAAATGACCACCCGAATGAAAAGCATGGTCCACTTTATCGAAGAAAAATTTATCACTCGAATTTTCAGTTAGTCAGAATATTGATTACCTTTATTTATTTTGTAAAACTACGAGTAAATATATCTATCTTTACTTCTGATTGTCGCAAAGGCCGGCACACCAACGACGCGTGGAACGTTTCTATCTATGAAGTTATGTTATTGCGTTGTAATGAATAGATCAGCAAAATGTGCACATAATGGAAGAACTTCTGGAAAATGTCACCTAATGTGTCCCGATTTGCAAATCGCTGGTTTATCCTTAGGTCGTGATACCGGGGTACTTTTATCACACGCATTCAACGGAAAAAACCCGTCCTATTTCTCCCGGTTCTGTTCCCCACCATTTTCGTGCATCCGAAAAGTTTCGGTTATTCACATTTTGCTATTCCCACATCGCTGGTTATATTTTCTATTGTGTAATCCTCTTTTTATGAACAAGAAGGACATTTTGTTCGGACATGTTCTAATCACATAACTACTTCAAGCCTCATAATGTTATCTTGTCTAATGGCCTAAAACAACTGACCAGAAATAATCCTAATCGTCAAACTCAGCTGTGGCTTTCCGTTGGGTCAACAAGTATATACGTCGATCTCGGTGGTTTCAATTATTTCTTCATGGACTCCGTGTTTTTTGAGCCTACCTTCTGATTAGGGTGCATTACTTGATATCGCCCCTGAATATTTTATTGTTTAAGTCATGTCCAAAGGCTCAGTGAATACTGAATTTCCAAATTTGATGATGATGAGCATGGTGATGTCGGTGTTGATGATATCACTACTCAGGATGGTTTTAGTTATAAGGATCCATTTGAACAAATAGTTTGATATTGGACTTTCGTGAGATTTTCATACCACTTAATCCGACCAGCTTCACAATACATCCATTGATTGGTTGGTCGTATTGAATCTGCTGTGTCATTCTTACTCCCGCTCTCGCTCTGTCTTTAGGGCATAATCTTATTGTTTTCTCTCTGAGATGTTTTGATATTTGAACTCGGTAATACATCCTTATCTAATTATTCATCGATCATTTCACTGTTACAATGCAATCTGAGGCTAATTTGGCTATCCTTCAGTAGTTACTCCATAACATCCATCAATTTTCTTCTGTTCCTTGCATTAATGAGAATGGTAATCAGTAGTTAAGATTTAGAGGAAAGCGCGATGCCCACTCTCTTGACTAGCGGTCTATCCTGCTTCATTCTGTATCCAGTTTACACCGGTGTCATCGTCGTCGTGACCCATAAAGCATTCGATTTAGAGACCTCGTTCCCTTCTGCCGGATAGAACCTATCCGTTTGGTTTTGACCAGTTAGTTTCCGGCAATTCGACCCGCACTTCTCCTGTTGACCATCGCGAACTACGTATAGTTTAACGATCCACAAAACCCTGGGGTAACAGGACATAGTGAATTCCAATCTTGCTCTTTCACTTCAAGACCAGTTGTTCCGTTGTGCTCGACCATAGTCAGATTGAACAAATCAAGAATAGTCAGCGCAAAAGCACAATAAGAATAGAGTAAATAAGAGTTAATCACTGTGAGGTTATTGTGAATGGAGAGAGCAGTGTACTTCAAGCCGAAATATGACATAAACTTATACTGGGATTGTGAAACGTTCAATAGCTTCTATACTGTTCAAACCTAAATGTGGTAGCAACGTGCACCCTTGTATAAAGCATGCTCTAGCATTTAAGCTACAGTGTGTGCCTAAAAGATGAAATCAAGGATAGATTTCTAGTAGGGTTTGTTCGTCCCATACCTTACAATCTGTCGCGTTGATTGGTCGTTAGAATTGTTGCACACTTCAGTAACTGAGACCAAGGTATATACCAAATTGTTTCAAGATAAACTGACTCAAACTATTTTTCTGATCAATATTTTCCAGAAAATCATCGAAACAGGACAGTAACGAATAGTGCGAGTTGATACACATTATATCTCCTTGTCATCGCAAAAGTAGACAATACTTATGTTTCAAAATAAACCAGCTGTAATTAGTGTTCACTGTGCCAGTGTAAAGAGTACCATTTCGACCAACAACGAAAACCTAAGCAAAGCGCACAGTCTCACTGATGCAAATCTGCTTACTGATTTACTGCACTGTGTGCTGATACAGCAATCCGATAACTCGGTTTAACCAATATTTATTAATACATCTTTGTCTATCTAGGCAACGGAATCGCTTACGTCTGATTTCATTCATGCCCCAAGTGCGTTTGATATGAGGGTGTTTTTCGCCCATTTATCCACTAATACAGGTTCATTGCAAAGAATTGTTTTCCTTATTCATATTGTTATTATCGTCAGTCGTAGCTGAACGATGAGATGGGAACATACTGTCTCGGTCAGATGATCCATTAGTTTATTCTCTGGCTTTCTTCTGTCCGGTCATCTTATCCTGAAGTCAAACCTGAAAAAACGTATGATCCAGTTTAACGTGATTGTTCACTGATTGATTCGAAGGATGATAAGTCTCTGCCAATTTTCTTGGACAATAACCGGGCTTGGTATGTGATTGTTGCAGATGCGAAGTCCAATTTTCTTTTCCCTTCAGCGTTATAGGGTGAAAATGTTTCTCATATCTCGATGGCCAAGGGGTCTGCGCGAAACCCTATTGCGATCGGGCTGTTTCAGTCTATCTGACGTAATGTGGTGTAGTGTCTGCGGTGTATTTGCAACACAGCGGTACTACTGTCATTCTCATTGGTTTTCTACCACGGTAACCAGAAACATTTGGTCGTTGTCCGGGCTACTGCTGCTCCGTATATGTTTTCTCTGATATTCATAATACCTCACAATGCGTGTTATAAACAGATGTTTCTTCTTCTGAACCAGTTCATCAGGTTTCGTACTGTCACACTTTGCAGTTACGAACTTCAAATTCACCTTTAACGTGAATCACGTGAAAGACGGAAGAGATTTAAATCTTTTCTTTTTGTGGTATAGNGGTATAGCGGAATTCGATCAATGAGTGTGTTTGAGTGTGACATCTTATTCATATTCCTTCGATCGAAGAGGAATCCGGAAATAGGAAGTAGCAACATAAAACGAAGCCTGTATTACCGATTTGTTCATTGATTACCGTTCAGTCAGCAGCAGGCTTTGAGGATGTGTTGATTGTACGAAACAAGATGTTGGTGATGCGGAGGAAACGTAAAACGTATCCACGAGTGTTTGGAGGAACGAAGTTGAAACAAGAACCGCTGATCATNTTGGAGAAATTCAGTCACCCACACTGGGTCATTTACCACCGGGTGGACGAAAGACCTGTCCCATACTGTCCCTGTTGTTCAACAGTCGAGAAATATGCTGCAAATTTCGCCCGATAGGATCATTTTGCCTTTTGCGTTGGCAGCATAGTTTGTGGCAAGAAAAATGCAAATAATTCAAACAAACCTATATAAACTTACATTTAAAATCAACTCACTTTATGTGTGTACATTTGTCAGTTTTCTAACACTTGAGGAGACGTGTGGTTTAATGATGCCTATTCCGTTGTGAAACCAGTTTGCGGTAAATTATATTTTGTTGTAGTTTTGTTTGATTTCCTGTTTTCTGCGTTTTCGGATAGTCTCAAAACACAGCCTCCTTTTCTACAAACCTCCATCCTATCGGGGGTTGGAGAGGAAAGATAACGTACGATCTCATTGTTTATTTCTAACAGATGGTAATACAAAAATAACATTGCATCACACCGAAAACAATCGATGAATCTCATCCCAAAATGATCACACTTTGTTTTCTTATATATTTTACAGACTAAAACGGGTGTTTCTGTCGAATCAATATCGACCGCAAGTTTTACCTCCGGATTTGGTGAAAGCAACAGAACCTGTTGGTCTAACCGACCGCCAGGTGTACAGCACCGATGTTGGGGGTGCCCAAAAACCACCTGTCGGATCCACGGTGGAGCGCACATTTCTCAGCACGAATGACATGCATCACGTGGAAGTGTCGAGAGATTCCAGCCTGTTGGAAGCTGAATATACGTCCACCACCGAAAGCACAGAGTTGACATTTCGCCGTGGACGTTGGACGAATGAGACCCTTTCCCCACGTATTCTCGGTCAAGTGCACGCGCTGTCCCTGACCGAATTGCGACTAGTCTTACTTGTGGTTGACTTTTTTATTATTATCTGTCGATTCTATCACACGTTTCTTAGTCTAAGAAATTTGTGGTTCGGACAGAAAATACATGTGGACGCGGCCAGTTTGTTGACAGTTCGATCCGGTGCAGAATCGGCCACGGGGACATTGCTACATGCAAGCCCGAGCCTGGGAACGAACAATCGCAGAGGTCGACTTAGCCATACGACTGACAATGGGGATGGTGTGATACGATCTAGCAAGTCCACCGGTCTAGGCAGACATTCATCGTCCAAATTGGCTTTGTTACAAGAATTGTCCAAACAGAATAATCGCTATGAATGTACACATGTGGACCAGGAACAACAGGTGAGTTACATGAACCGACCAATAATTGCATCATGTGCTGCATGATCATACAAAATATTGCTCTGATTGTATTAATCTCCATCGGATTTCAAGTCGTGCAAATGGATATTTGGCAGAATTGATTCCATATCGTGATTGTGAAAACTTCAGTAGTCTCGGTGGGATTTGAATCCACGCATGGACGCCGCCTACGCCTTGTACGCGTGCACGTACAAAGCTTAGGCGGTGTTCATGCGTGTTTGAATTTCAAATCGATAAGGGTATTGGAGATGCAGTATACTCACAATAATGATACCGTCCATTGCGGCCTGCCTTTGAATTCTGTATCTGTGCTCTGGATGTACCGCTGTGTGTGTGACGCTTCCATGCGATCCCGGTCTCAGAAGCAAAAAAGATGGAGAAAGGTTAATAGATAGATAAATAGATAGATAGATAGATAGATAGATAGATAGATAGATAGATAGATAGATAGATAGATAGATGGATGGATATATCACTAGAAAGATAGATAGACAGATAGATAGATAGATAGATAGATAGACATATAGATAAATAGACAGATAGTTAGATAGATATTCAGATACATAGATAGATAGATAGATTTATAGCATAGATAGACAGAAATATGCATAGATATATAGATAGATAAACAATCGATGGACCATAGATAAATAGACAGATAGGTAGATCGACAGATAGATAGGTAGATATATAGATAGACACGGATAGATAGATAGATAGATAGATAGATAGATAGATAGATAGATAGATAGATAGATACGTTTGGACATATACATTCATAAATATATATGTATATGCCTATTGCATGAAACGTTGTTGACCACTCAAAGAAAGAATGGCAGAACCCGACAAATCGCTGACAGTTGGAACCATGAACAAAAGGCAATGAAATTTTAGGTTCCTATTGTTTTCACTCAACAGATTTTGCACTACCAAGTGACAAATCGGGGCACAGTTGTCCCTTACGTGTTCACTAAACGGCCGTTGATTGAAAGATACAATACCCAAATATTTTTAAATTGACCGGTGTAAATATTGTGCGAAATCTTATCTCATGTATTTCGTGTGTCCAAAAGGCTTTGAGTAGAAAATCGTTGAGCAATAGCTATTTCGAATATGTTTCACGACGGTTATTTTGTTATAATTCCATATCCGACCTGTTTTATGAATACCAAATGCTTTCCCGTTAAACAATAAATGATTTCGTGAAAAAGATGAGCAGTCAAAAAGGAAAATTAGGAAATATTTCTCGTAGACCTAAGGTATTATATCAAACTATGTAGTCATCCTTGGTAAAATCGATTGCCTTCAATTTTACCAGTGGTACAATTTACAAGAAATCAAAACACACTCGGATAAGCGGTAGCAAAATTTAACATATCGGCACGTTTATTTCTCATGAACTTCCTAACGTTTTTTTTACGGAAGCTTCACCAGAATGGGACGAAAAGCGGAAAAGCGGACTAGACTGAGAAAGAAGCCTAAAGAAGCATACAAATCGGCTGATGGAAACAACGGGACATATTTTGGGTAAAGAAAAATATTTGCAGTGTTTTGAGCAATAATCATATAGCGAATTTCAAGGATGGTAAAATAGGCGTATATAGAGTCCGAAATGTTTTGCTTTTTTGCTGTTCTTATTCTGAGCCTCTGCTTGTATCGATCGATTTGCGTGAGTAAAACTGTACGCGCGGGCTTGTATGCGTGCTGAACATTGTCAAAAGAAGTACTCCTAATCGATTCTCCGTAGATATTCAAGTGTGATCGTTCTAAGCTTTTCACTGCTAAACAGGTTTGACAGGACAATCAATTTTTAAACAACCTATTTTATGGGCTCGTTTCATATTTTCACTTAATAGCAGAGAAATATCTAGTTCAAAAATGATCAAAGTTGGTGGACATATGTATCTCTTGGGCAAAGCAACTTTCGAGAACGTAACGTAAACAAACCTGTAATTGCATGAGGATAAAATACACATGCAGTTTGTCAGAGACAACATCGTTAGCACATCGGTTTGTGACAATATTTATCAAAGTTTGGAAGCAACTATTTCGCCCATTGAATCAACTGAACCAATTCACCGAAAATACATGATATCGCACGAAGAAATGTTTCAAAGTTGCGAAACGCTCATAGAACTTCTCTGTTGTAAAATACTACTATTTGTTTTATTATTATGGATTTTGTTAGAGTATCACCAACGATGATATCAATCAGTCTCCAAGTTTGTCAGCAACCTGTGTGCCCCGTTTGCCTTACGGGAACGAGGTCATGTGACTTCTTAGGGGAGTGAAGTAGCACGGTGGAGTTGTCATGGCCTGATTACAAGAAAGCAGCACATAATAGGAGCACAAATTTTAATTTCTATTAACCAGAAACTGAAAGAATACAGGAACGAATAATAAACACTCAAAATGATATAACTTTAAGTGTACGATAACTAGGTTCAAAGTGCACCAGCCAGGTGCACATTTTGAAGCAACGTTCATGGAGCAAAACCCCGAAAAAATCTTAAGAAATGACTAGGATTTTTCAATAACTTATATTTGAATTACATTCGCAACTCGAGTCAAATTTGAGACTAGAAACATCCACATGGTTACGGGACAAGATAGACAAAAAGAAAACCGTATTTGATTATAATTGCATAAACGAAAGTAAGAAACCTTCATTTCGGAAACTTTTCTCTCATTTATTTGAGGCCCTCACATGTGCAATATCTAAAGGTCTAATTACTACTAAAGAAACTTACGGACAGCATTGCACCAATTGCATCATTTCCAATCTTACTGGTGAATCAGCGATTTCTGTTCGGTTGATTCCCTTTGCCTTTGTCAAAAATCTTGCATGAAACGGGTCGTTCATTTACACTCGTCCCCTGTTTTGTCTTCTCCGTTACTGTCGGTTTGTATACGCTTGATTCATTGATATGTCTGAAGTGTTTTTCTCAGTAAGCTGTCTGATGTATAATTTTTAGTCGCGAATTTTCAGTGAACGAAAATTAGAAGTTTTCTTTAACGCCCACCCCACCCCTCAGCCCAGCCCACATACACGCACTTCAGTGGCGAATGAAATCGCATGGCTAAATGTACATCACGTTCTGTTCCTGAGTTAAAATGAAGAAGGTTAGAATATAACTGTTATTTTACCAGAAATTATACCTGCCAGGTGTGCTGTTTTGTGCAGTCCATCTAAGCATTTCATTCGGTTTCAGTACACTTTCTGAAGACAAACTAAATATATACATATCAGAAATATGGTTGTTTGCCTGATCGAATAGCCTTCCTGTTGTCCTGTGGTTCATAGCTATATTATCAAAATTAAGCCCATCAAAAAATAGTGTCGAAAACCACGTGTTCTAATCATCATAGATTTAACTGATACATTTACTCCTAAAGACTATTGAACTAAAAAGACCCAGACCATTCTAAAGCATATGATGTAGGTATTTGCCTTTGAAATATGGTAAATGCCATTGAATGCCAGGGAGGGTCTCTTTCAGATAGTCGAAAAATACATTTTCTTTGCTTAGTTTGATTACTGGATTGTGCTGTTCTTCCATGGTGCGCTTCAAAATGACTCCCGTGGGCGTTTTTATACTAGATCTCATTACTGTTCTCCTAGTAATCAAATACGTTGTCCTTGTTAGAATTGCAAAGTCAAACAATATGGCGAACAAGCTTGTTTTCAGTCATGTGAGCGTGTTTATATCTAATGTAGAGATAAATGTTCAAATTAAACTTAATCAGTACGATTTGGAAGATATGTAAACATCACTCGAAATAGCTGTCAAACGCGGACTGTGTTTTTGTACCAGCAAACCTTAAAAGCACCCATGCAAATAAAGTCAGGGCCGCAGCCTGTCTGCGGCTGATGGGTTGTTAAAAATCCCTTGCTGCATACTGTTATATTTAGCGCATACATATATATATATATATATATATATATATATTTGTGAGAGCCAGATCTATAGTCCACAAAGGGTATTATATCTACAATATTCACAGGCATAATTAGTCCTAAACAAACTTACGGACATTGCATTGCACAAATAAAAAATTATGATCATTTCCAATCCTATTGGTGAATCAGCGATTTTTGTTCGGGGAAATCATGTTGCACTCATCCTATTATGGATCAGTGAACGGTGTACAGTATCATCAATCATGTCTGGATAGTCTTGTCACGAATAATGAATGTATAGCATTTTATCAGAAACAGACAGACTAATGGAAACTAGGTAATACTGATGTGGGAACCTGCTAATGAGGGCTGTCTGTCATTATCTCAATGGTGTGCCGTAAAAGCGGATTAACTAGGTCGATTAAGAACCGACTTAGTATCCGATAAACATTCACTAATATATCCGTCGTTCTCACTAGACGAAAACTTATTTCGAGAATATTTTCGGCACACAATGATATCGATCTATATAAATATGGTAATTAAACAATTTGGTACATGTAATCAGAATGTCCCATTTTGTTTCACACTTTGAAATGCATTGATTTCGTTTGGGCGGGCGGCATTTCACACACACTCGGTGATGATACAAATTTACGATAAGTAACCGTTATCACTTAGACCAGGCGACGCTCCTAGATACCATCAACCGAATGCGGGCGCATACACGGAGAGACACAAACGATAGCTTGTCGACTTGCCCAACCCTAACAAATTTAAATCACACATTTTCGTTGCCTACGCACATTTATGTTTGCTATAGTTAGCAAAATTTCTCACCCGGACAGTATACATTACACCCCACTACTACCACCACCACCCAGTCCCCAAGCGTCGCATGAGAAAATTCCACTGGTTTTATGATTTGCCCCGAACCGATCGATAAAACTGGTTATTCTGCGATTCAACTCATTCAGAAAGACGAGTGTGTGTAGGTGTATCTGTGTGTGCTTGTGTTTGTGTATGCATATTTGTATGTATGTGGGTGTGCGTATGTATGTGTGTATGTCAGTTT